GAAAGTCTTACTTCTTCCTTACTGATATAGATTCCTTTTATTTCTTTTTTTTTTTTTAAAGATTTTATTTATGGGGCGCCTGGGTGGCTCAGTCATTAAGCGTCTGCCTTCGGCTCAGGTCATGATCCCAGGGTCCTGGGATCGAGTCCCACATCGGGCTCCCCGCTCTGCGGGAAGCCTGCTTCTCCCTCTCCCGCTCCCCCTGCTTGTGTTCCCGCTCTCGCTATGTCTCTCTCTGTTAAATAAATAAATAAAATCTTAAAAAAAAAAAAGATTTTACTATTGGCCTGTAGTTCTCATTTTTAGTGGAGTCTTTATCTGGCTTTGGTATCAGGGTAATGCTGGCCTCAGAGAATGAATTTGGAAATTTTCCTTTTCTCTTTTTTGGAATAGTTTAAGAAGAGTAAGTATTAATTTTTCTTTAAATATTTGATAGAATTTACCTGTAAATCCTTCTGGTCCTGGACTTTTGTTTGTTGGGAGTTTTTTGATTACTGACTCAATTTCTTTGCTGGTTATTGGTCTGTAAAAATATTCTACTTCTCCCTGTTTAAGTTTTGGGTAGTTTATATGTCTCTGGGAATTAATCCATTTCTTCCAGGTTGTCCAATTTGTTGGCATATAGATTTTCATAATATTCTCTTATGATTGTTTGTAGAAGTCTTTTTTTTTTAAAGGACTGAATCATTCAGAAAATTTTCACACTAAATGAAAAGCAAATTAGCAACTGACTTCTCTGTTTACTAGCTCTGGTACTTTATGCAAGTTATTTTCCTTCCATGTCCTCCTCTATAAAATGGGATAAATAACACCTTTCAAGACCATTGAAAGGATGAATAAGTTGACATGTGTTTGGAATCGATATCAAGCTCTCTCAGGGCTCAGTAAATGCTAGTTCCCTTTTCCTTCCTTCAGTATTCATTTTTTTTTCCTTCCTGCCATTTAAAATCTTTGTAAGCAAAAATAAAATAAATCCACACCTTATTTCATGGACAGGCTTAGCTCAAATCCATATGGTAAGGCAATGTCAACAAAAATGTCCCAGGCAGCCCAGATACGTCAGTGGCATTGTGAATGGCATCCTGGGAAGGACCTGAGAGCAGAGGCTGAGGTGGGGCCGGGAAGTGGGGAGGGGAGTGAATTTACTGAGGGGAAAGGCCTCCAGATGGAAGGTCAGAAGAGACTCTCTTCCCAGTTAAAAGAAGAAATGTGCTAAAGGAGGGGAGGCGTCTGGGAGATGACAGTGACCACAAGAGAAGAGTAAGATGCTCTTCTCTCGAGAGGACTGGAATGCCATCTGTGGGCGTTGGATTAAGTAAGAAGGCCAGTGACGACTGAACAGCCCACAGATCCCAGGAGGGCAGCAAGCAGGGCCAGTCAGTGCTCCAGGGCAGGAATGGGAGTGTCAGAAAGGTGGGGGCTGCCTAGGGATGAAGTCCAAGGAGAGACACCTCCCCCCACCCCCTGCAGCACCGTAAGCTGAGGAAGGACATGTCCAGCCCAGGCAGTGTTTGGAGGCAATGGCAGAGAGGGGCTTGCCAGCTTCATATACCAGCCACCAAATTAGGGATTCTAAAAACTGTTTTATGTTCATTACACTTCTTCTTACAGCTCCTGTGCCAGAGATGCTTGGCAATGGGGAGCAGACTACTTGATTTGCGTAATAGATATTTTCACATACAGCATACATAAAAAACAAAAACAAAAGTGTCATAAAATTTTAATCTGGTCTTTTTGTAGCAGCAGTGGGAAGCACAGAGTTTTCATCATCATGCTATCTCCTGTAGGATCTATGGAACAAAACAGAACATTCGCGGAAAAAGAACGTGTTACTGTTAAGCAAAATTGGACCGGGGGACCAATGAATGCAGACTCGAATGCACCTAGTGGGTGGCCCACCCCTCAAGCCCCACTGGAGCCCAATTCCAGTCTTGGAAGCTTTCCTAGCAGAAAGCTAGGTGGTGACTTTAGCGAAGTCTCCCCAGGCCACATCAGTTTGTGGAAGAGGATGCCATCGCCTTCGACCAGCAGGATCGCTAGATGCTCCTTTCCTCCCACAGATCAGCCCTGGGTAGTCTCCCTATTGTTGTGCGCCTCTCCGCCATGGGGTGGCTCCACTCTGCAGCTTCCTACCCACGACCCAAGACCCCAGAAGCCAGAGTTGAAATGCTAGGCACCAAGGTTGCACAGCCATCACCCAAATCCCCCCCCACACTGACAAGGGGCCCCGAGGTACCAGCCCAGGGCAGGGGTTAGCTTCCACCCAAAGGCGAGAGACGGATCTGCCAATTCTGGTTGCCAAGGATTTGAGGAGGGCAGCATGCAGGGGACAGATGGAAATGCAAACCAGGTACCATCCAACCCAGCCGTCTATGTGAAAGGGCACAGGAGAGACAGAGGATCCATCTGGGGGCAAAGCAGCACAGCTGGGAAGAATTCCCCGAGCCCAAGAGCACCACTCCAACCACTTTTTAAGAGGTGGGAGAAGGAGAGATGAATGTGATTTGGCTGGACAGCCCGTGTCCACTCAATGTTTACTGCCCTTGGCACTCACCCTAGATGAGAGTTCTTGTTCTCTCACTGATGCTACATACAACTCTTACTAGGTTTCCAAAACGAAGTTTAACACACTCTCTGATGAAGAACTTGGGTGAGTTCCTAGGACTTTACCAGGAGTCTAGGGCTATTTGTATGTAACATCACCATATCTCTTATCAGAGAAACTTATCCTCACCTTGCCCATCCCTGGCCCGTCCTCTTTGTCCTCAGGGTCCCCCTGCTTGGGGCAGATGGGTATGTGTCCTCCCTGCAATCAGGGGAGCAAATCAAAAACAGAGCAGGTGAAGGGAGAGGGCTGTGTTCTGTGAGCCAAAGATGACGGTTGAGAAGGAGGAAGCCAGGGAGATAATTCTAGGACAATGATGGTTTCAGGCTGGCAAGCAGGGGTGTGGTCATGAGAGAAATCTAGAACATGGGCTGGAGCCATGACCCTACCCAGACTTTCCACAGTGGGAGGCAAGAAAAGTCAGCATGTATGGGCCTCCCTGGCCAGCCAAGCCCCAGGCCCAGGTGTGGGCCTCTCCAGATACCTCAGCTTTCCTATCTGGGGCTTCTGGGACTTCTTTCCAGAGGCGAGAACTTGTTTAGTGTCCTTCTTAGTTCAGGAAAGTAAAGCCTGGAGTTTGGGGACCAGTCATCAATCCTTAAAGTCCTTTTTGCCACTTCTCCCCAGAGGCCTATGAGGTCTGTCATGCAAATAGGATCTTTAGGCTTCCCTCCTATTCCTAAATTCAGGATATTGGATGTACCTTGCCCCACCCAGACTTTTACTATTTGACCATTTGGCCACTTCCTTAAACTGCCAGCTAAATTTTTGATAACTATGGCATGTAATATAGGTATTGTCACTCCAATTAAGTAGTAAGGTACTTTGTGTTTAAGTATTGAGTGCTTACTATGTTCTCGACCCTTTGCTAACTGCTTTATATAGCTGATGGCATCACATCTACATAACAGCTCTATGAAGTAGGTACCATCATTTATTATCCCCACTTTTCTGGGGCGGCGAGGTGAACAGAAATGTCAATAAAGCTAGCCCAAGTTTCTGGCTCCTTGTGTGAGTTGAGCAAATCAGAACCTCTCTGTGCCTTAGTCCCCTCATCTGTAAAATGGGACGAATACCAGTTCCTACCTGATAAGACTGCTATGAGAATTAATGGCACTGTTATATTTAAAGTGCCCAGAACAGTGCCTGGCCCACACGTGTTTGTTAAATAACAAATGAACATCTAAATAGCAGAGCTGGATGTAACCCTGGTGATATGATTTCAGAGCACATATTCCTAACCACTATCCATGTTCTTGTTCATTGTGTCCTGTTCTGTTTCTTCTTAAAAGTTTGGCAGGGCTTTTGGTTTCCACTTTACAAAGACAGGGAAACTGAGCTATGGAAGTTCAGGGCTACATGTGAACTTCTCTTCTGGAGAATTCCCTGGTTACAGGTCATGTATTCTCATAGGCCAGGCACTGTTCTGAGCACTTTATACATATTAGGTCTTGTACTTCATGTACAGTCTTAGGAGGTAGGTACTGTTATCCATCCCATTTTATAGTTGAGGAAACTAAGGCACAGACCAACCTGCTGTCATATCTATCCTCTACCTGAGACCAACCAGTTCTGCTCCCAGGTCCTGGAGCAGGAGTTCTGGGCTGGAAACCCAGGGACTCAGCACAAAGATATCCTGCTGAGGGACCTACACCACCCCTGTCTCCCTTTTTCTGCCTTGGACTATGACCAAACCTTCCACTGGACCCCAGGTTTCAGCAACTGCCCTGGCCTACCATCCATGGGTACATCAGACCCTCCCAGTCTGGTCCATTTCTCAGGTGACCAGCAGTCATAGTTTGCCCAGGAATGCCCCAGTTTTCAAGCTGAAAGTCCTGTGTTATGGGAAACTTTTCAGTCCTGGGCAAACCAGGATGGTTGGTTACCCTGCACGCTGCATAAGCCGGTAGCCACTCTCTGACCCAGTGAAGCTTTGCTCTTAGTGCTTGGTAACCCATGCAGCTTCCTGTAGATCTCCAGAGAATAACCTCTCCTCTCCAAATGATCCCTCAAATTGTCTTAATTTAGCAACAGCTGTGTCACATTTTAAATCAAAAGGGTGTAAGGTATAATAGGAGATCTTATTTTCCAGATGGAGGAGCTCCCTCAGGTTTACTTTTCTAAAACACACTGATGGACCATAAGCCAGCAGTTTCCTCTCCACCCTTCACACTTGACCTACCAAGCTATTATTTTATTTTCCCTCCATGTTTTCATTCTCCCCAAACACTTCTTCTAATGATTTCCTTTCAGCCCAAAGCAAGCAGCAGAATAAAGAGACCTGGGCTTGGCATTAGGGAGACCGCATGAGTAAAAGAAAGGACGTGGGCTTTGGAGGCAGAAAGACTGGGTGTGGATCCTGTCTCTGACATGTCATTTTATGTCTTTGTGCAAGTTACTTGATCCCCCTGAATATCGTCTGTAAAAGGATCACATGAGAAGATCAGTGATGACGTCTGCAGAGTGACTCGCAAGGAGTGGGATGATGGACGCTGAATGGCTGATGGAAGATGCCACAGCTCAAGACTGGAGCCCCCCATGGACTGGCAGAATCCTGGTCCTAAATCCGAGTTGAGGCACCCAGAGATGCTGCTGGACGACTGATACGTGCCTGATGTGGTCTCTTCGCCAGCTTCTTTTTACCTTCAATGGCAATTCCCTAGGGAAGCCATATTACAAAGTCTCAGGATCCTGTACTCCTTCTTCATACTGCTTTTCACAATCTGAATTCAAAATTTAATTTCTGTCTTCCTCACCTGACCACAAAGTCCCTAAAGGCAGGGACCATGTCCGTCTTGTTCACTGTTGTATATTCAGCAGCCAAATCAGTGCCCGGCACACAGTGGGCGTTCAACAAATGCGTGTTGCATGAAATGAAGGAATGAATCAAATGACCATCAAAGGTACTGGGGGAAGACCGAATTCTGTAAGGAGGGTTAGGCAGCAACGCGCCACTAGATGGCGCTGTTACCCTGCTGTGAACTATCCGGCAGGCTTTCTCACACCAAGTATGGGTGGCAGCCTCAATTTCCATTTTGAATTGAAGCGATTATGCTGGATTATAACATCTGTCTTTTTTTTTTTCAAAGATTTTATTTTAATTATTTGACAGAGAGAGACAGACACAGCGAGAGAGGGAACACAAGCAGGAGGAGCGGGGGAGGGAGAAGAAGACCTTAAGCAGGGAGCCTGACGCAGGGCTCGATCCCAGGACTCTGGGATCATGACCTGAGCCGAAGGCAGACGCTCAATGACTGAGCTACCCAGGCGCCCCTATAACATCTGTCTTTTATTGAGCATCACAGCAGGCAATTTTACAATACATTTTCTACAATTCTGACAATAACCACAAGATAGAGTATCTCATTTTACCGATGAAGAAATAAATCCCCAGTAATTTTAAGTAACTTTTCTAAAGATGCACAGCTGAAGGCCCTGATGTGTTTGGCCTCCAAGCCTGTGTTCTTTTCAGTTTACCCCACGGCTTCCCCTCCAGCAGTCTGATGTAACCAATGAACAGCCTTCCCACTGTGATAGGTACCCACCCTTCCCCCCTTTTGTCCTCACAGCGGGTGGTTTTGTCACATGTCCAATCACTATCCACACAGCCTTTGCTTTCTAAAAGGTCAGCTTACTGGGCGGGGAGATGACAGGCAGAACAGACTCAATGTTTCTGAGACCAGAGGTTTAAGTCTTGAGCTCATGGATGGGTTAGGTGTAGTGTTCTGAGGAAGGAGGAAATAACCTTCAATTTATCAATCAGTCATCAATAGTTCTTCATTCAGCATCTGTGTTGCACACACAGGGTTACGATCTGGTTGGGCATCTAAGACATGCATGTATGGGACGTAATACACTGCCTTACGCAGGTGCCTTGTGGAGATACATGCAGTAAGAACGCTAGGCATTCAGAGGCCAGAAGGATTCCTGTGACTGGGGCGGTCACAGATCTCAAAGTCACGCTTGACCTTCACAGGAAATGCATTTTGGGAGATAGGGGGCAAGTAAACTGGTCTCTCGCTACAAAAGGTGTAGACCAAGGACCAGCGGGTTTGACACCACCTGAGAGCTTGTTAGAAACGCAGAATCTCTGGTCTGGCTTCAGATCTCATGAACCAGAATCTGCATTTTAACAGGCTCCCCAGATGATTCGCACACATTAAAGACTTTGGGGGACCAAGTATTTGTATTTATATGTCCCTTTAAAATGAAGTAATACTCTAAAACACTCTTTAATTTCACTGTTTAGTTTTAATTTTGAACTTTGCTTTTCTCCTACAAGAATGGTACTAAATATTCTTAAACTTCTGCCATTCCTCTCTACAAGAACCTATGGAGATTCCTACTAGCTAAATTTTCTGGGCCCTGGCGATTTACTAACTGGAAGGAAAGTTCTTATCCAAAGCACTTTTCCAAGTATTTGTGCAATGAGAATTGCTCAAGAAACTAGGCTTTGAAAAATCCTAAAGGGTATTTTTTGAATCAAATCACTAAAGGAAGTTTACTTTATGTTCAATGCAATTTTGGTACATTCTAGTTCTTTGCAGATGGTTAACCTGTGTATGGCATATGATGAAACCATAATACTGGATCAAGTCTCATCAGGTCACTCCCTACCCCCTTCCACCTATCATTCTGGGTAAATGAAAGTTGTCAGAACGTAGAATCCGTGATAACTGTGATGAAGTCAGACACTCAGACACTAGCATATTGACAATACTTGATTTACCATCTCAATAAGAAGTGATGATGCCCCGTGTCTAATTGTGGCCCTATTTCTCTTCTTCACTTGTGGAAGTTGGGTGAGTCCATTCAGAAAGGCAGCCTGGTATATAGAAAAGAGCACGAGACAACCAGGTGAGACCACATGGGCTCTGGTCTGACATACATGAGCTGTGTAGTGTCACCTCTCTAGGTCTCTCTTCCCCATCTATCCCCTGGGAGGTGGAACAAGGTAATTGCTAAGATTCCTTCCTGGTTTAGCATTATATGAGCCTACTTAACTAGGATTTCGGGCATGGGTAGTTAGTTATTCATTAGACTCAGATTATATACCCCCAAATAGAAATGGCCCATGCTGTCCTTACTTACAGATATAAAAGTTGAGAAGGCTGGTTACCATAGCAATTCACCTTCACGGAGTCATTTCATAAGTTCGATTCTGTAAAGTGACAATATTATGTACTGGCACCTGCAAACTCCCTAATGTTTCCCTTGCTTCCATTCTTGCTCCGGGCTTCGGTGCCAAGAGTTGTCCTTATCTGGAGAAGCAATCAGAGTTCTCAAGCTGCCTTTCGGTCTGCTAGAACAGAAGGTGCTGACAGGGTGGGAGGAAAGGCAGGCCTCCTTTCAGTTTACTAATTCTGCAGCCGCCCTTCACAAACGCCAGCAAATATTTTGCGATGTTGCAAGGTGTTACGAGAAGTGAAAAGCAAGCTGTGATTCAGCTGGTATGAAGACTTCGCAAATAAAAAAGAGTGATCTGTTTTGCAGCAAACTATTATTTCTGCCAGAGCCCACAGACTGGAATACTAAAAGAGGTATTTCTGCAAGACACTGCCATCATACATAGTGGGTTTTCCAAATAAGACCAATTTCAAATTCATTGGCTCAGCAGGCCCCCACCTGTGGCCCTCAGACCCCTGGGAGCTGTGGGATTACCTCAAGGGGTGTGCATGTTCTTTCTGTAGACTGAATGAAAATATGCTCATCCACATGGATTGTGTCTCAAATATGCGTCAATGTTGTAATGAATAAAAGAAATTAACTTACAATGTTACTAAATATATATTAGCCTTTTGTTATGTAGTTTCTTAATCAACTGATGCTAAAATTAGCGTTAGTTTCATGTTTAAGAAAAAATTTTTTCTTGGTGTTGAAATACAGCCTCATACTTGTCAGATCACTTGACTTGATCCTGGTTCAGAGAATATGGACACCTTACCGGTAGGAGAGACCCTTTCCTCCGGTTATTGGCTTCAGTCTCAGGACATATGTGGATAATATATTCACAATTTGGTTTCTAAAACCTGAGAACCTGTTAGGAAGCCATTTAAATGGTTAGTTGAGCACTGCTCCTCTCTGAGAAATGTCATCTGAGAATATAAGCTATAAGCAGTGGGTACATTTCTTAGACCACAAATTTATAATAAGAAATATAAGCTAATTTTTATTTCTAGCTGCCATCTCTCTGCATTATCAGAAACTTAATCTGAGTGAGCGTGTAGATTTTCATCTCTTCTTTTCCTGGGATTGTGTCTAGTTTCTGGGAGGGCCTTATGAGGTGCCATGGTATGCAGTGGTGTTGGTGGGGAGGCAGTGGAGGGAGTAAGGAACCTGGTCCCCATGTCATCCTTCCACACCAGTATCTATTGAACCATACTGTTTCGGGACCTCTTCAGGTCCGAGAGCACCGTCCGTTTCTCCAGCATCCTCTTGGGCACAAGGAGACGTGCTTCCACGTGGCCTTGAAGTCTCTGCAAGCTTGCGAAGGGGCCCTTCAGTGGGGACCCACCATGTACCTTTTCTTTTCTGGTCTTTTTTTTTTTTTTTTAAAGATTTTATTTATTTGCCAGAGAAAGAAAGAGAGCACAAGCAAGGGGAGCATCAGACAGAGGGAGAAGCAAGCTCCCCACTGAGCAAGGAGCCCGATGCAGGACTCGATCCCAGGACCCTGGGATCATGACCTGAGCCAAAGGCAGAGGCTTAACTGACTGAACCACCCAGGAGTCCCATCTTTTCTGAAGTCTTGCAACCTTCCTGAGGCTCTGCTGAGGATACAAGGAACATGTCTTCTCTATTCCCAGACCCCATAAAAAATTCTGGGATTGCACCACCTTCCCTAGGTGAGCCTGTGGAGTAACACACAGGACCCAGCGTTGACGTCTTTGCTCTTGGTATTTGCCCAGGAATTTACTTCATCCCCCTCCAGGCACAGGGAACTCTTTTCTATCCTCGTTAGCTTTTCCTCCAAATATTTTGTCTATGCTGCTAGGTTTTTTCTTCTTCTTTCTCCTAAGGGCAGTTTCTGGAACCAAAACCCAGGAAGACACTCTTCTTTCTCTGCCTCTTGCTGTCACATCCCTCCTCTGAGATAAGAACCTTGAACTAGGCCAGCGGCCTGAATGAGGGGAAGGGAGGAGGAGAGTAAATACAGGGGAAAGGGATCCACTGATACTATGCTGCCACATAAATAAATTAATATAGCTTTCATGGGTCCAGGGCCTGCAAGAGAGGAAGTCAGCCCTAAATGAAATCAGATACTGAGCAAAAAGTGAACTTTGATAGAATAATTAAAATAAGACCTCCAGCACCAGAGCAGTTTTTCTATAGGCTCTTCACATCTTCTGCAGTGTGGCATCCAGAGCTAAGTGACTTTTAGACATGATACTGAAATATAAAGGGATCTTCTTTAAGGATGGGGTGAACGATGAGCGCCACAGTGGCACCAGTCCAACCGGGGTGTTGGGAGAGGAAGGGTAGGCTGGGAAGAAAGGGGCAGCAACATCACACCTTGAGGCTCTCTCACTCATGCCCTTTCTAGAACTTTCCTGCCTCTGGAGCTGTTGGTAAGGCAGTTGTCTCTAACTCCGGTGCTCCTGCTCCAAGCAGATCTGAAGTCCCTTCGTTCACTCAAAACCATTGACTTCCTACGCTGAGCTGCATGCTGGGGAAAAAGTAATCCTATTTTAGTCTTGGTGAATTTATCTAAGTCTCTTATTGAACAGAAAAGACATGGCCTCTGGACTTAAGGATCTCATGGTTTAGTTGGGGGAGGGAGTTGCCCAGGGAAAGACAAGCAAAGGGGCGGTCTCTTGCTGAGGTGTCAGAGAAGGCATCTGAGTAGGGCAGGAAGGTAGAACTTGAGAGGAACCCCAGGGCTCTGGGGGCAGGTGCCGCTTACACGGGAGGAGGCCTGGGGAGCCCTGCTAGTCTGGCTCAGACACAGCCCCAAATTTCCAGGAGCAGTGATGGCTATACATTTCAAATTTGGTAATTATGAACACACATTTTTTCTCATTCAAAAGAGCTAACTGCTGCCTGACTAGGTAGGAAGATTCTATTTCCCTGTTTCTCAACTCGCACTGTTTGAATCAGGAGTCTAGGGGAGGAACACGGGGGTGGAGGTTCCTTCACAAAGCAAAAGCCACAAACGCTCTCCCCCTCTCCTCTCGGAGAGAGAGTGGCAGCTGACTCTAAAGATCCTATATTGCAGGCAAAAAAGAGTTTGTTGGCAAACCATGTAGGAGGCACCAGAGTGATAAATCAGAGCTTTTGCAGCAATGTATTTTTATCACTGCTTGGCTAAAGCTCACTTGTTCCAAGTGGGCTGATTAGCTAAGTATGCTCCTCTGAGTATGGAGTGAGCTCCTTGAAAATACAGGCTTGTTGCAAATGATTCATAAAGATACCAGGTTAATATTCATTTTATAAAAGAAGGATAGTGTAAGAAGGTAGGAGGCTCTTTGGCCCACTAACTCATGAAATAGGATTCTGTTTCTCCAGCTGTGAAGAGTGAAAATTAATATCCCATTTGAGGAAACTCAACCACATCATCTAAAGGCTAACTCCATGTTATGGTAACAAATGAAAAGGCTGCATTTGGAGAAAGGCCCTGACATTCCAGATCACACAGGAAATAATTATATAGTATTATTTTTGAGTGCATGTAGCAAGAAAATATAATCCTTGAGTAAATAACCAGAACAGGTTGAAGATGTGTGTGTGTGTGTGTGTGTGTTAAACTATAAACAACGATCTAGATCAAATTACTTAATTGTTTAGTTCATAAATGTATAGTAATGTGTGCTTTTGCTTATGCCAATAAGATAATCTTTAGAGATGTCTGAGTGACTTCTGGCCTGAAATTTAGTCCACAAAGTGATTATGGAATTAAGGAACAATAGAAATGGCTTGGGAAAGCATGGTCTGATTACTGTGTGGCCACTAATCTTTTACATCAACCTGAAGTTTTTTTTTTTATTTTTTTTAATTTTATTTATTTATTTGACAGAGAGACACAGCGAGAGAGGGAACACAAGCAGGGGGAGTGAGAGAGGGAGAAGCAGGCTTCCTTCCGAGCAGGGAGCCCGATGCGGGTCTCGATCCCAGGACCCTGGGACCATGACCTGAGCCAAAGGCAGACGCTTAACGACTGAGCCACCCAGGCGACCCCAACCTGAGGTTTTTAAGAAAAACGCAGATCATTTCTAGAGCTATCTAGAACAGGGGTCAGCAGACTCTTTCTAAAAGGGACAGACAGTAAATATTTTAGGCTTGCCACTCTGCCATTGTGCACAGAAGCGACCACAGACAACGTGTTAATGAACGGCTCTGGCTGGGTTCCAATAAAACTTTCTATATAAAAATAGGTGACCGGCCGGAGGGCCAGGTTTGCTGACCTTTCAGCTCGAACAACCGCAGAGATGTCGAAAAACTGAGTTCATTTGGGAAAGCTAGGAGTTCCGTGGAGCCCCACAGCAGACCGATTCCTGTGGGGATATGGGGTGAGGCCGGCCAGCTGTGCCCCTTACCGATAAACACTACGTAAGGAGGCCCGGAGGAGGACTGCCTGGTGCTGTCAGAAAGGCCGGCTGACTGGTAGGCAGCCGCCGGGTGCTGGATTCAGGAAGAGCTGCTCGTCTGTGCACCCACTACGTACACAGATGGGGCACGCGCACTTGGCCAATCCCACAGTCTTCACACTTTACCCCCCACGGCGGCTCTGTGAGGTAGCAAGGGGGTTCTGGAGCTGACCACACCTTCAGAAGGTAAGGTTAGACCCCAAAGAGTTCCAGCTTCCCTTCCAATTCGGAGTCATTAAGACAATTGTTTCATTTGGGCAGGTCAGTTCTCCTGCCATACTCCTCGTTGCTGCTGAACGAATATCACCGTGTAACCACTCTGTCCCCGACCCGGCCTCTGTCACAGCTGGTGGCTCGGGTATGGGCAATTTGTGCCCTGGCTTGAAAGGTGGAGCTGGCTCCTGACTCTCTTCCATACCTTCGAATGGAGACCAGAGGGAAGATGCCCTTGGTGGCAGGGATGTAGCCAGAAAGATTATATGGGGCTCAGGGGCTGGAAGGGCCCCATGTGGGCCTTGCACAGGAAAGAGAAAGGGTTTCAGCTTCTTTCAAGGTCCGTGACCCACAAGGCCTGTCTGTTCATCAGGAATCCTATCCCAGTGAGGCCACTCTGTGGATTTATAATCGCCTCTCTTTCCCTTTTCTTGAGTTGCATTCATTGGATCTATTCTCAGTAACTAAATCACACGGTGCTCTAGGAGGCACGTTTCCTGCCACAACTAAAGCTGTATGTAACACATTTTAGTTCTGCCATCCATGAATGTAAGAGTCTGTGGGTTCCACTGTGATCTATTTAACCTCTATACCAGCTGCCAGTAACAGATACAATCAAATTCTCCTTATCAACGACTTTTTAATCTGTCCTTTCCATTCCCATCCCTCCACTGTGGCCTTGTACTTATCACTCTTATCTGGATTTCAGCCCCAGTCTCCTAGAAAGCTCCTTTGCCTCTACTCATTCCATATTCTTGTCTATCTGTTGTCAGAGCTGTTAGATTAATTTTTACAAACCTACTTTCATCAATCACGTCTCAGATGAAAAGTTTAAAGGTGAAAAGTTCCTTACTGCCTTCTGGATTCGGTCTAATCGCTTCAAACCAGTATTTTAGGCTTCCTAATCTGGCCCCACTTTATTTATTATATTCATATCTCTCATACCCTTCAATATAAACTTCAATTTCAGCCAGGTCAATCTCCCACATCCTCCGTCAATCTCACTCTTC